CACACACACACACACACACACACACACACACACACACACACACACACACACACACACATACACACACACACACATGCATAAACGTCGAATACGCCATTTGTATTACGGGATATGGCGTTTCATCCCTCATGTACCCTGACCTTAGTCGAATTTTTCGGATAACAGTTTTAGTGATTGAATGAAAAAAAAAATTGGCAAAAATCTGACATCTATTTCTTTTTTATGCTTATCATCTAATATGTAACTTCAATCTTTCTTTTCTTTAAAGAAAAAAAAAAAAGAAACTTTCTAAACTTTTGTTAAAGAATTAATTTTGTTTATATATTCATATCGTTGTCACTACTTTTTTTTACATTTTCAATAAAACACAAGAAAAAAAAGCTTAAACCTAAGCCTTTCTTTTTTATTTAAGGAAATATTTTCAGGTCATACTTAATTTTGTCATGATTTTAGGATTAGTTTATCCAAATTATCAAAACTTATTACATTTTGAACGGTTTCACTGTATGACAGTTGCACTTACTTAGTCAATAATCAGCCTTCTTTTATTTGTGTCTTTGTTCCGTCCGAAAATAGAAGGTCAATAAGAAATAGCCTCTATGACTATGTACTTTGTGGACATTAAAGAAGAACATTGATCGTTTTCATCAGGTGCTAGTTGTAATCAGTATCATTGCATGGATATATCCTTATCACTTTATCAATTGTTTTCACTGAATATCGAATGTAAATTCATCAATATTTTAAAATAAATCCTCCTTTTACTCAAAAATAAAAAGGTAAAAAACGGTGCTAAAGGGAAAGTTAAAAAAAATAATTTTGTGTTCATTTTGCATATGATGAAAATCCGTCTAGTATAATATGAAATTAATACTATCAAATTGATTATGTGGGTGCATTTAATATAATACTTGAAAATAAATCTTCCCAATGATGAATGAAGTCTTCCCGGTGAGGAATTTCCGGATTTGTTGTCTTCAGAATCGTTTGTGGATAAAAATTGTTGAAGAGATGAAATGAAATACGTAGAAATGCTATTCGTATATGAAAAATTATCATTACGCCGAAAGTTAAGGGACTATTTTTTGTTCTTAATTTGTCGATAGTTTTTTTTCTTTTTCTTTTCATACATATTTAATAAAGAAGAGTAAATAGTACGGTTTAGAATTTAATCCATAGAAGAGAAAAAGTGGTAATTACTACGAAGCCGAAAAGATAGTTGCTACTATTCATTCGTAAATTTTTATTTATGAGCAAAAGTAAAAAAAAAAACGGTTTGCACTATCATTCTTGTTGTTACATTTTTTTTACACCATTAATAGGTAGATGACATTTCATAGGTTTGTATGTTTTACATCCGACGACAAATAACCTTCATGAATTTCTTTTCCTCTTACCTATTGCTTATTCATTTGCATAAAATTAGACGATGAATTGAATAATTGACGTGGAAGAATTCTGGATGAAGTCGAACATCGTTTATGATAATAGAGATTTGATAATTTTGATAGTTTCTAGATGTTTTTGATTTAGTAAGATTATTTTCTATCATCTATAATTTTGCTAGGAAGACTTATGAATAAGGAGAAAAGGGTCGAATGTAATGAGTTGATACGATTTTATCGAAAGATATCATGGAAGTGCATGAAAATTTTTTGATAAATTCAAGTATTTCCATCGAGAGTTTGATCTGCTGACTGAGATCGAACTGACAGAAAGTGATCCAGATCGAGCATTGTGTATCATTCCATTCAGCGAATTAATTTTACTGTTTGATTCATGATTTTTAAAAGAAATAAATCAGAAGAGAGGCACGGTAAATGTGATAGATACGTGAATAACGTTGAAATTTTAGGACAGCGCTTTGTTTTATTGATGAAATTACCGGGCAGATTGAAATATCTTCATGAAAATTTTCGTATCGTATCATGATTTTATCTTCGTTGATTTCTCTCAAATCACTGGATTCGTTTTGCTTCTTTTTTTTTAATCGTCATTAAATTGGTTTAATTTCCGGAAGTTATATCCCGGCATTATAATTATGTTTTAAAATAATACTTTATTTTCATTTCTTTTAACAATTAACTATGTTATCTTGCATTCTATACTTCATTGAAAAAAAAAAATCCATTTTGTAATTACCCATTTGCTCTACATTCTCATCATTCCTCTCCCCTAGTCATACAATTTATGATGGGATAATTTCTCGAGAAGGTAGAACTGAACCGAATAATGTAAACAACAACAAATTGCAAGATCTGAAAATTAAATTCACAAATAGTCAATAAACATATATTTATATAAAATAGAAAGGGTGTTGATCTGTTATACAGATGGACTAATTTGAATAAAAGAATAAATCGTTCATTCATCTCTTCGTGTGAAGAATGGGCAGATAATCAAAAAAGAAAATAAAAATTGTATATGAGTTTATTCCATGGAGATAGAGAGAGAAAGAGAGGGAAAAAAAGACAAGGTGAGCTGGTTTATTCCAAACATTTTAATGTAATACATCTTTTTCATACCTGAATTTCCGTTCAGGAACATAACATAATTTTTCGTTTTTTTTCTTTTCTTTTTTTTTTTTTTCAGGGAATTATGCAAGAAAAGATGATATTGGGATTTGAGAGTAAAAAAGGGAATGTATGGAATTTTGGTAAAATTTGATGAACAGAAACTAGACGTCTGTCTTTCCGTCTTTCTCTCTCTCTCTCTCTCCCTCTCCCTGAGTTATGATTTTGCTTAATTGAATAAAAGAATTAATGAAGTGTGAGGAATTAATGGGAAATGGATATTAATCGTTTACAATCTTTTTCTTAGATAAATGCATAGCTTGAAAAGGAATAGGATTTTTTTTCAAAGTTTTTGATAGCATTCTTCGAATTCAATTTTTTTTCTTTGATCTTTTTAAATTTGAAAAATTAAAGTTGCAGTTGTTTTTTATTTAAGACAACGATCATACCTTTTAGGAATAATGGGTAAGAGTCATCTCAAGAAGCCTTCAGTTCAAGTAGCATTTGCGGAAACACCAATTGTCTTTAATTCAGGTAGCATTTACGGAAATACTAATTGCATTGAATGCAACATATCAAGCAATGGATATACCAAGCAGTTGTTCAAATCATTCAGTAATTCTAAATCTTGATTGGTTGCAAAAATGCGACAATCTTCCTTCACTGTTTCGGCTTAATGTTGGAAATGGAGAAGGAAGGCAAAGAACCTAACAATTTATACTGTTCACGTTCGTAATGTTAATCAGAATTTGTATCTCACAATATATCCATCAGCGTTGAGCACTGTGCAAATGTATTGTATCATTGACTAGTTATGAGAGTGATATCGTAATTCCTAAAAAATAATTCTTAACCGAAGACCTAGATCATTTAGAACAGAAATACCCAACTCTATTTTTGGGGAAATACGGCAGTAGTCTTTAGGTGACCATCCACAGATTGTCACAGATAGAATTACCTTTAGCTGCACACTTTTCACCCGCTCTAAGTATGAGGAAAATACCTCCATTGCCAATCAAATGGAGCATTTATATATCTGTGCAACACCCTCGGAAGTATCATCAACTTGACGCTGAACAACTTCTCATATTTACAGGATCTTCGAGCGCAGTGAATGTCCATGGAGAAATTCAAATGGAGGTAGCCAAAGCTGAAGAAAGCTTACTGTATAGCAAGGGATAAAAATTGAATGATATTCTAGAAATGACAACATTAACTGGTTTTTGGACCACCCTCAGTGCCTACTCGAACTTATCTATTGTCGGTGCCAATGAATTATTTCGAAAATGTTTCTCCGGAGAAAAACAAAAAAAGTGTGCGTCTTGGTAGATCCTTCACTATCGGGGTTTAAATGATGAGGAATACGCAATGTAAAATTTGACAATTAAAATGACATTTGTGAAATGAATAAGGATCCCCTCTTTTCTTCGCCTCCAAAATTAAGCGGGATTAGAAGGGAAAACAAAATACCAAGTAGTCCTCATAAAGGACTGCCGGATTTGTTAGTTATGAGGTTTGGAATTACGAAGTTACGATTCGCAAAACGGTTTTCGTTACACTGACGACCAGATTACTTCTTGAGAAGAGGGAACCACATATGCCAAGGAAGTTCTACATGAAATATACAGTGATTATTATCCGAGGCGTGAACTATTCGAGAAATTATGTGAGGATCTTGTAGCTTCCAATATATGGTTCACCAATCCGTCTAAAATAGTTTGAACATCGTTTACACACGAATGTCAGCACATCATATTTTTACGAAACATTTGAAGTTTGATAGCACAGCATTCGACAACAAACAACATATTCTTAATATAGAAGAGAAAAATAATAAGAACATAATTGGAAAAGTAAAACAAAGAAAATGCTAGTTTCTGTATATACCGCTATTTGCTAAAGACTAACATATTAAAAATTCAATCAATATCAGAAATAAACGACTTTTAGGACATTACAGCATGTCAACATGTGCGATGAAATATCTGCAAATACTTTTATCCTTGTATAAATACTTTCATCTTTATCTACCTATAAATACTTTATTCTTGTGTCGAAGTGTAAGCATAATTTAACAAGCACCTATTTCATTCGATCTATTAATGGCTATCAAATAGCAATAAATGAAAATTATTAAAAGATGATTGCACATCAAGATAACTGTATTATCTGTGTCTCACTGGCTTGTTTTGTTCGGAATAAAACCCGGGCAGTATGTAAGGATGGATTTATTTCTTGCAAATGACTAATCCAAGCGACTGCAGTTTCCCGACAAACTCTGCCAAAAACCGAAAGGGCCAGAATTGTTTCGTGCTGCTGTTCGTGGATATTATATTTTGAACGTTTTTCATAACCTCCATCCCACTCACTTCTCCAATTTTCAAAGTCTTCGTCCTGAAAAAGAGCAATGATGAAATCTGCATTAAAAAAAGTGGACTATCGAGCATCGGAAATCAGTGACTAATTTGGTTTTACAAGGTGATACTTGACTGTAATTTAGCAAAATTCAAAAAATACTGCGATTCGTTTAAATGCAATTTGATAGTGTACCATTATACTGCTATTTGTTAAAGATTAATGCATATGGAAAATTTAATCTACATTAGAAATAACCTTTAGGACGTTACAACATATTGACATGTACCAAAAAAGTATCAACATTACAAAGTACCTCAAGAAAACTATTTTTACAAACTAACTGGATTTTGTATTCAGTCTAAATAAAACTTGTCTTTAAGAGCGGATATCTGACATAAAAAAGTTTTTACCAAATCATCCTCCTCATATTTTTCATAATACTGAGATGATTTTGGATCACTAAAAAGACCAACGTATTCAATACAGTGATCCATTAAATACACTTTATTAGGTCCATCCACATATAAAGTAGTATTTTTTTCCAAACTTCGCAACAATTTTTTTTGAAGATGACTTTGAGCAGATAACAGCCACCTGTCAGATTCACTCAACTCTGTGTCGTTAATCTGCAAAACTTTATAGCTAACAATTTTGAAATTTCGGTAAATGTTTCTCAAAAAGGAAAACTTTCTATGGAAACTTTTTGTCAAGCATCTCACTGAAATTCTAAATTTTCGAAAAATTGAACGCTCAGTAAAGAGCTGTTTTTCAATCGTAACAAACCCTCTGATAATGAGCAAAAATTATACACAAGAAAACCGTAGATAAACCCACCCCAACAAGAGTTATTCGTGTACCTGGGTCGCGAGATATCATTTTTAACGCTAAATAACCAAGATCTACAGCACTCAATTTTTTCCCTTCAATTTTCCGACGATCCAAATAAGTATTCGAATGTTTCAACTTTGGCATCCAATACAACATGCGTTTCACCTTTTTTGTGGCATAATTCCATTCCCCAAAAGCGTTAACGACTAAATCATGAATTTCTTTGTCTGGCTGAACTCCTGAAATGCTTAGAAACAATCAAGCAATTATATAACGATTCTAAATTTTGATATTTACATGAAATCCTTACATGAACCGTCAGGTAAAAGTATTATCCTTTTCATTTCACACCGCCGAATTACATAATAAGCTACATCTATTTGAAAATTATTAGAGGACAAAATGTTAAGGAATTGAGGAAAAGTACAAACCAAACCATTCCATTTCATCGAGAAGTTTGACGCAACATATCTGCTGCTGGGGAAAATACAAAAATCTTCGCTGAAATACATAAGATTACAGCGGTTTCATCTCAGATAAGAATAGAAAGAGCTGAAAAAAATACCAGCTGATACCCAAGAAAGGTGCAAACAATCAAGACCTGAAAAACATTCGTAGGTATCATCGGTCCTTTCGGGAATATGTTGAGCAACGATTTATAAATATCCAGATCCTTCTGTAACCCGTATTCCTTCATATATTTTAGCGCTGAATTTATAAATTCTACGTGCCCTCGAGCATGCATTTGTTTTTTACAAAAATTATCTGAAACAAAACATCATAGAATTTAGCGTAAATACCTACAGAAAACACTGAATCGTGTTCTTTGCTTTATTAATGATCATTACTTTGCATAACTTTACGTGACCGAATACTCTACAATCACCAATAGTCCAACTTTGAAGTTTGGCGATTGACATTACAATTCCCCTTCAAAAATATGGTTGTTTTTTTTTCTTTATGGTTTTGTTTGGTGTTCAGCTAGACCACTACTGATGATAGTTACTACGGATGACAGAGAAAATCATGTAACCTCTGTTAAAACACTCCAATAAGAAGTCAAAAATCTCTACCTTCCACGGTTTTCTTCAATTTTATCCAGAAAATTCACTCCCACATAATTCAGAGTCCGCCAGTTTACCGGAATTTCTCTGTCATCATTTATAGGTTGCCTTAAATGATACTAATCATAATACGGTTCCTAAACTCACCGATAACATTCAGGAAAGTTTGTTTGGTACGCAATTCGATTGCCACCTCATCAAAACGCTTTTCAGATGGAAGTAACTCTTTTCCAAATTTTTCGTTGCTTTCAGATGCAAAACGATATGCTAGGGATTGCACTGGCTTACAATACAACGATATTCTACAGTACGATCCCAATAATTTGATTGCAACTTCCATCCTGAAATAATCAAAACAAAAACTATCTCGGCTGATAAAACCTCAAATATCCTAGCAAGTGTTAGATGAAAGATGGCACTACAGCCAAAAAACACTACAGCCAGAAAAAATGAAAGATGGCACTACAGCTTGGATCAATGCATTGAGAAATCTACCTACCTATTTACCATGAGATGCCGGTATTTATCGACTACCTGAACCTGTGTGTCATATGTATTAACTGAAGTGATAAACAGCTAGTTGTTATCACTGCATAGTTTAAACCTTCACTTGTTTCCAGGAGGGGAAGTTAATCGCTAAATAATACACCTTACTACACCTCACGTGAAAATTATGTCTCTGTCGTTAACATTGTCGTCGCATGCAACGATGGTTTTGCTTAAGGTCAGAGTGCGCATGTGCATGTGCACAGGTGTGGTGTATGTTGCTGGGTTGGCTTGCACTGGGTGCGGTCGGTATTGTCGGTGGTGAAGTGTTCGCAAGGTTAGGTTGGTTGGAACAGTAGGTAGGATCAAGAAAGAGAAGTGACCAGAAATAAATGTGATCCAGAACCTCCGGGAAAGGGAATGCTTGAATGAATCTATCGATTATGAAATAGTGCAGAAAAAAGAAACGATAGAAAAGTTTGAAAACCAATTTGTCATACCCTTCCGCTCGTTAGTCTGCTACCAGCTATCTTTGTCATTTGCTTTAAGTGTAATGTAAGGCTATACATGGGATTATTCCATTCCAGAGTGCAGGATTAAAAGGTCCACGTAGCGCAATATTCATCAGTTCCCTCCAGTTTACTAGAATTTCTTGTATCACTTTCCAATGTCAACTGCGACCATTTCAGTTGCTAAGTTATTAGTGGAAAGAGTTAGCAAATATTCAAAAATCTTCCAGGATTTGCTCCTATTTCTTCCTTTTGAAAATTTCATTAACTCATTCCATTTGATAGAATCTTCAGCGAACGGTGTCAGAATAGGTAAGCTTCGATGAAAAAGGAGGCAGGGGCATCGCTGAGATGTCTCAGTAAGGCTCTCTCGCTAACTCGTGTCATATAAGCTATCTGTAATCCATTACTTCTTTGTCTATTAATAAATTTTGGCATTCGGCCAGGGATATAGGATATGCTTTTGTAACGAAATGGATCGTTGGAATGGATTACGCTGGATTACGGTTGCATGGAAACAATTTTAGGCTATGAGAGTAAATTTTGGAGGATTCATACCTGCCATCGTTTTCGTACTTCTTGACATTTTGATTAATGGTGGATTGGTATGAGTCCCAGTTCCTCAATGAAATATGACCGGATGTTTAAGAGACAAATAATCGGATCTGCAAGAAGATATGGCCGGAGCAAGAGCAAGATATGACGGGACCGATAGTGAGAGATGACCGGATTTGCAGTGAGATATGGCAGAATCTGTAACAAGATATGACCAAGTTTTCAACTGTGGAAATCACAAACATGATTATGGGAGGATAAGGGGAGAGAGGATGACATCAATTCTCGATATCCAATCAGCAATGAAAGAGAGTTATTCTTGTCTAAGGCAGACAGTGGGGTTCCAACATAAAAATTTGTGGGGTTATTGAATTTGTGGTTTATTTTCGAACTCAGCTCCATTATGTCATTCATTATAACGGTTTGTACATATGCGTTTCTTTTTTTGTAGGATCTCTTTTTGGTGTTTCTTTCGAACTGGATTTTGTGAATATTTAAAAAAGCGCCTTCTTGGTAGGTATGAAAATCGATTCTAAAACGTTACGGCCGTGTAGTGCAGAAATTGTAAGTTAAATTTTTTACGGCTGCATGGTTTTTCCATTCCATACTTCTTCCCAATGTTACGAAAAGCAAAGCATAGTATGACCTATATAGACGCTTAGTAATCTTCAGTTCGAATTGATTATACATCCCGCTAAGGAACTACTGGTGAGAAAAGTAGACTGCTATTATTAGACATTTGTTAAGTGAGGATAAGCTTTGTTGAGAGATTTGTTGGAGATGTTTTATTTTAGTTTCCCCGATGTATGCAACTTATTGAACATATCAAATCAGCTTCGGATCGGCGAACATTTCTGGAGCGGTTAACTGAAGTTCATGAATGGCAGCCACAGTTTGGGAAGGTAAGAAAGTTATGCCTTTTTTGGTGGACTGTAGTTGTTAGTGTTCTCATAAGCTTACGAGGATTTGTTAACAAGTCTGGTTTTTTTCTTTGCAGTCCGAAATGGCGAGGTGGTCAGACGTTTTGAATATGTGCGATGATGTATTGAAAGATGCCGTAACGTGTAGTTCGTCACCGGGTGCACCGATGGCTATCGACGAAGATCAGACTTTATTAGCAGACGTCACATCTGTTCTTTCTTTTACCGCCATGCTTTTCGAGAATACTTTCACCCGTTCAGTCTACAGTTCTACCGACGTTAGAATCATAATTAAAAGTTCACTAACACTTGAGATTTAGATTATTTTACAAAGAAAACTGAGGGAACTACGGTTTCAAAAACTGGATAAAACCGCTTATATAATTTCCGTGCACTTATTTATGGAATTATTGATATAATTCTCAAAATGTAAGTGTTGAGACTGCCCTGTTGATTTGCCGCAGCGCTGCTTCTTTAGCAAGAATGCATGCTGGGAACAATCGTGTAGGGATCTCTCGGAATATGTTTAGCCGTCAACCTATTCCTTCCGTCTAACCCATCCGTTGTTCATAGTTTTCATTTTAATTTGATTGTTCCTTTATGTCATCTTTTTCTTAAAACAAATAATTCCAGCGACTGTTAAACTTGCTAGATTCTGGTAATGTGGAGGTTGTTGTGGAGACGTTGAGATTATTATTGGTTATCAGTAAGCGCTCTAGATTTCTTTCACAACACCTCAATGAAGTCCAACAAAAAAAACTCACTGTCCGACTTTCTGCTATTGCTCAGGTTTGTTTTCTGGCTGTCTGTAATGTCTAGAGGAAAATGGAGAGGGTGGTATTTCATCACTCATTTTTTTGTTCATTGCGGCTTCATTCTGAGTTATAATTTTAATTTCCAGTGTTGGAATGGTAAACTCAGAAGTATTAAGATGGATGAATGTTGTACTGCGAATGTTCAGCCTACCACTTTGTTACCAATCGGATTTCAGACGGATACGAATAATCTTGTTCGTTCTATACATGTGAGTTAATTATTCTTTTTGACTTATTAATGTATTCGAAGTTCGAAAGTATTTGAGTGAAAGAATTGGGAATTCAAGACTCTTTATGAAAGACCGATATTTGTTAATTATGAAATGACGACGTTAAAGAATTGGTCCTTCTCCGCTTCCCTATAGTGAACAATTTTTTCAGTTAGATAAAAGTTTTGCGGCCGAGCTGGAACACTTGTTATTTGGTAAAAAAATTGAAGAAGATGAACGTGCATCTTTCATAGCTCGCTTACGTCTGGTGCGGTCATTTAACACTTCTCGTGGTCGACGTCTAAGTATTATTGCGCGTCTTCTTTCGTTGTCTATATTAGGTACGTGTTTTTTAATGCCTTTTTACTTGATATTTCCCTCAAAAAAAGTAATAGGATATCAAACAACACGACATCTCCATTTGCAGTTTACACTCGTAGTTTGATAGAAGAATGGGCAATGACTACAATGCTTTATGATGGACTTATTGAAGAAATAACTCGTTTATTACTGATTAATAATACTTCGGAATCAATTATTGATGCTGTTAAAACGGAAGCACTTCGTACACTAACCAGTATTGTTTCACTTGGAAGACCTGCAAAGTAAGGTTTCCTTGTACATGCTTTTGTTTCTTACTGATTCTTAAAAAATAAGTGGCTGATGACAAAAATAGGGATATTTCAAATAATGCTTGTGGCAAAAATAGAGCCATTCACTGTGTTGTCTTTAAGACATGGTTGTGCATGCTTCTTCTGCTACAGGCTCAATATGTCCGCCGTAGAATCATTTAGTGTATTTTGGTGGTTAGTGATGCTAATTATGATTGATAACCCCATGAACACTCTTCAAAAATAGGATGGAAAAATTATAGATTGAACGTAGTAGTAGAATCCCTCGGAGTGAATTCATATCACGGTTTCTTGGCTCGAATGACCCGCCAGTGTGTCGACGACTTGCGGTGCGGAAGAATTGGAAATGGGTATACAACCGTACCATTCTGTACCGCCTTGTTTTCTTTGCTTTATCATCTTGCTGGCTTTGAAAACGGTAAATTTCTACTTCTAGTTCTTTTTAGAATCATAATACTGTCCATCATTATTTGCAGTGGGATGTTTACTAATTATATCTTTCAGGCGGTGAAGCATTAGTTTCGTGCGCTTTAACGGAGACATTACTGGGTGTGGTATCATGCGAAACGCTGCCTTTAGAACTGATTACCTTTGTGACACGCGCTGTGCGCGTTATCGATATCATGACTTCGTTAGATGCTAATGGTTTTACATCTTGCAATGGGATGAGCATTATTGTTCACCGCTTAATTGTTAGTGTTTATGAAGTTTTTGCTAAGTTAAATGAGAATTGCCGTGTTCGAGTTGCTAAGCTCGACTATAGATTTTAGTTTAATTTTTCCACTGAAATCTTGATTATTAACTTTAGTTATATTTGTGGATGGTATAATGAATACGAAGTTCGTATTCGTAATTTAGGGTTTTTGCAGTTTGATGTCAATATATGTATGAAACATTTGGCAGAACTGAGTATCACTGGACCTACAGCAGAACAGTGTCATCAGCAGCGTGCTGCATTGATTAAATCATTACTAAATTTCATCAAAAGAGCTGTTCAGGATGCACAGTTTGCTGATAGTACTCGACATAGTAAGTTTATTCTATAGTCTCCTTAAGAATCTTCGGGATTTTGAGAATCTTTCAGACATGTTTTAGGATTCATCGGTATACACGTGCATGTATTTGTAAGCATTATGAAGTATATAATTTACATTATAAAGTATATAATTATAATTTTTGCGATATTTCAGTTATGGACGGTGCCTTACCGGCTGCTTTAGTGAACATCTTGACAAACTGCGGATTTTTTGGAGCTTCACTGTTCCATAATGGTTAGGATTTCATTGTTCTATAATGATTGTATCAGTGACAAGTAGCTTAGTTAAAGCACTTTATCTTGGGTAAAAGATAATTCGAAAGTATCCAATTGTAAATCAATTGCTTCAAGTGAAGTTTTCTGTTTTCCGATCAATTTATGCTTTGTAATATCGTTTTATTTTTATAGCTGTTTGCTTGATTACAAATTTCATCTACCAGGAACCTTCGTTACTTACGTCCTTGCAA